TTTCATTCGTACTTCATTGCTTGCCACTTTTGCGCCGTTCTATACTTCGGCTAAGGAAAAAAGGGCTCAGAAAGCTGCATCTCCAGTGCGACGAAATATCTCCACTACGCACCGGAAGAAGTCGCTTAAATTAACTTTTTCTTTGCGGATTTTGCTTTGGACGCGCCGTTGCCCCGCCATTGCAACCGCCCCGTCCCACAATAGGAAGACTTCTTTCTCAGTGAAAATAAATCCCGGCAAAAGGGTTAAACTTTGCTCCTACTCATTGAGATCGAATGACTCAAAATGCAGCAATGATTAGCCGAAGTATGGCACGCGTGCAAATTTTGCTTGTAATATGAACGAATCGCAACAGAATGACGTGTTTTATTTGTTAATTTGTTCTGTTTTATATTAATATTTGTCATGCGATTAGTTCGACCCAAATATTTTCCTAAAATACTGATGGTAGTAGTGGCTTGAGCAGAAGTCATTTGCTTCAAGGAGCAACGGGTGACCTTGGTTCACAAGATTCATGAGAGTTGCTTCACTTTATGAGTGGTGTTTTCGCGAGTGATGCCCTGTTCACGATCATAAAAAATGCAACTTTTTCATGTATATATTTTTCGGAATCTTATAAAGTTATCTTATAACAGATAGGCGCTCACGTGGGGACATCAGAACAGAACATTCGAAAACCGCTGGCAGGACTGAGCCCAGGATTGGGAATAAACACCAGGGAGAACAATTGTTGCTCACATCCTTTTCCCAGAATCCTTTCTCCTCCCTAAGGCTTAGTCCCGAGCTCTATGAGTGGTCCACTCACTTCAATGTCCCCCTAAGGACATGAGCGCCAACAGATATGTTAATCGAACTAATATTAATATATCAAAGAGGGTAATTTGTAATTCGGTTTGTTTTAAAAGTACTCTTTGTGGCGCTAGTAGCCCATCTAATACTAGATATTTGCCAGCTCAAATGTAGTATAGACCAGCACAAATTATACTTTTTGCATATTTTAACGAACTCGATTTCAGTGCCGGTAACACCTTCTCCCGGTGGAATGTATATGCCCTCATTTGCGCATCAAATGATGCCACCCTATGCGACGCAACTTGCAGCAACTACACCGACGGCTAATGCTGCTTCGCCACAGCAACAACAGCAACTCAACAAGATCTCTCAGCAGCATCTCAAATCATCTGATGGTTTGTGAGGATTTGGTCATAGTTTTTTCATTAAGCAGTGGTATCTTTGCAGAGGTTGCAGCATCAAGTGGAGTGTTATCAGCAGCGAAAACGATGCAATCACCCTCAGCCCAGAATCTCCAACGGCAGTTTGGCATGCAAATGATGCAGTCTGGTACAGGTGAGCAGCAGCCACACCAAGTGTTTATGCTGCAACTTCATCATAATGCCGGTAGAAACGTTCAGCGATGGAAATATGTATTGAGTTGAAACTGTTGTGCTGCAAAAGCAGGATAGAAAGAGTTCAGGTCAACATCAAGCAGCCATGATGCAAGCAGCTGCAGCTCAAGCTCAGATGGCTCAAATGCATCACCTCTACATGCAGCAAATGGCTGCTGGTGCACGAGGGGCACAATACTCGGTACCGCAATTAGTATATTGTCGTTTTTTATCTTGCTACGGGAGCAAATATACAGGTTTTCCTGATTTCATATTTTACAGTTGGCTGGTACCTCTGCAGGAGCGCACGAAATGGCCCAGCTTGTTGCTTTACAAGGTTGGTGTACAATAATAAAAGAAAATCTTTCGAAACATCCGGATTTCATGTTATATTTCACGCAAGAGTGGAGTTATGATTAGCAGCGGGTCACTCACGCCTTGAATTTTATTAGGAATTGCTCGCTGACTAATAAGTACCAAATTAGTACCTGCGTACTCAATTCTAAAATTCCCTATACTATTATTCCCATGCGAATAATTCAACATGTCAGCTTACTGAAATTTAATGGAGCGGCTACTGTTATTTCTCTGCTTGCAAAATGGATAAGGAACAATTTCGTGTACGCGTCCTAGATTTTTACGTATATTTTGCGTTGCGCTTCTTTGGAAATAATAACTAGGAAATTAATTGGTGAGCCGATGACGTGATTAGCTCCACCTCTATTTGTGTGGCTTTCTTGTTTTCGGTTTCTCGGCCAATTTTCCCGACTTATCAATTGTGAGTTTAGTTTGTGGAGATCTCTCTCATTACGCTTCTCTCTGATTTCACCATTCCCACATAACACAAGCGTTTGCATGGGAAGTTTTTCAATGCTATTTGTTAGCAACGGCTGATCTCACTGGTTACATGAAATATCTGAGCAAGTTGATTTTGTGCAAATGAATGTCATTACGCGGCAATCGGTTTTTTTTTAGCTTAGCGTTCAGCAATCTAACGAAGTAAAATGAAACTGACAACTTCCTGCTCATTGCCTTCAAGACTTTTTCAGCCATTCTCTTCGTCATTGAAAATGTGAATCGACATTGAGGGCTTAGCTATGCAAACCGAATTCGAAGTTGAAACGCTCACAGTTCAGTAGCTTAGGGCTTTAGATTTTTTGGTAATCGCTGTTTCTTGTGGTGCGAATATCCTTGAAAAAATAGGGTCCTTGAGAAAAATTACGCGTGCAGCATTCTGGACTTGGGAAATGTCTTGCATACCATTTTGTGCCAACTAGTTCAAAAAAAAATGGGTATCCTTCTCTCAATAAGAAATTAGAAAAATGACAAGAAGCTGTGTGCCTCGCTGAAATGGAGACAGTAGGAGTATTTTATATGATGGTTGGTAAATTCGAGGTTTGTTAGTCCTCCGGTACAAGGCCGTTCCCTGCTACCCCTCACTGTTGTCGTCTTATATCAACCCTGGACGACGTATAAACATGTCGAGTCAAACAGGATCAGCCCTACCTTATCGTTTGTATTTCAATTAGTCAGATATTTTTTCTATTGCAGCTCTCCAGCAACAACAGCAGAACCATTTCGCAAGCATGTTCCAGCAAAAGTGAGCCTTTCACTGTGATATTTAAACGCACACATTATGTACTTGTATTACCGCCGATTGTCTTTGTCGTCGCTTTTGTGTGCTTGGTGTTAAAGCAATTACAGCGCGCACACAAATTTGGCTTTCACTTGCTCATCTTTGTGAATTTGCTCCTGCCCGATTGTGTACCTTGTTATGTTGCCAAGTTTGTGACACTTGTTCTGTTTTACCCCGTTTAATTGTACGTGTCGCGCTGGTCGCCGTTGTAGGTGGGGTGTCGTCGGTGAAGAGGTCCACAGCGTGGCGAACCCTGCGTAACAAATGGCATTTCTTTGGGAAGTACCGTGTTCAGTCAAATTTTCATTGGTCCAGGGTAGTGCCGGGTAATCACTACATGAAAATGGTTCCTTTTCTTGTCCTTTTTGTTATCAACACGAATGTCGCGATTTTGCCTGCGATGCAAGAAATGGCGCACTGAAACAAAATAATGGCCTTTATCTATAAAGAGAATTTTTAAATGCATTTTAAATTACGGTGTAGACTAACCTCCCCAACGCAATAGTGCTACAGTAGGTCCAAACATCCAGTCATCGCCGCTCCGCGCCTTTTCCGCGCATTAGGTCTCCCATCCCGACACCCGCCGTTGTGCCATGCGAGGCGACTTGACTTCAATTTTTCATTACGTTTGGTTTTTCGAATACGAATGCAGCTCTATACTTGTAAATGATCCGGGATTTCTGAAGGTTTCACTATATTCACCCGTCGAGTTTCAGCATGTTTTGCTCCCAGTTTTTACTTACACGTCAACTCGTAACTGTACTGATATCGTTTGATTGTTTGATGATTTCACTTTCATTGTTTTCATCTTATAGCCTTATTTGCTTCATGTAATTGCTAATCCACAATACCCGAGTTAGTACAAGTTGTTTTGTAAGGTTGTACATTAGGTCCCGGCGCACGCATGCGTTTGTGTGCTGCAGAGCGGTTGGGAAGCGATATATTCAACTCATCTCGTTCCTTTCGATTTCTTCGCGTTTCTTTCGTCCGTGTATCCCAGTAACACCGGGCATGTCAGATAATTCGTTCTTCATTCATTCATTTATTCATTCTCATATTGCAGCAGTTTCATGTATTTAAATTATAAAAACTTTATTAAGATATGCATTGACAAAAATAAAGTGTGCAAATTAGTACATATGTATATCACATAGAAAGGGGAAGAAGTATCCTCTGCTATTCTGGTTAAAACGAAACGAAATTTGGCACGGACATTAGAGATTGCACAATAATTCATGAAATTTGAAAAAAAAATAGAATCTGTTAACTCTCACTCAGAATGATCAACATGGAGTAATGCACCTCCAAGAAGCGTGCGGTCGCGGTGCACTGGCTCTTCATATCGGCGAATGATTCGTTGTCCGTGACGGACACTATTTGAACCGTTTAAGTCTCGGAATGACACTTGAAGGGAGTAGATATCCGTTTTGGCTGCGACGCAACCGCACGCGGCACGAAGGTGCTGCACATTACTTTTGCATTGCTACACAATTATTTATCATCGGCTCTGAGGAGTGCTATATATAGGATAATCACAAATACTCTGACGCTCTGCTCTTATAACTTATTAGAACTTAGGAGATTACTTGAGGATGTGCCAATAAGCGCATGAGCAGTGAATAATTATTGATTTTACGCGCGATCATCGTATGCAGAATCAATACGCGGCTTTTTTATACGTTGTTCCGATGTTGCTACATTTTGCATAGAATAATTTATAAGAACAGAACAGAACTGAATTATCAAATTGGCTACGGTCCTATGGTCAGAAAAGACCTACAACCTGAAACCACGTGTTCATGTCGACATATCCTAGAACGGGGGTCCATCTCAACCCTGATGACCCTCAGACTCGACTAGGGAACACGATCTGGGAGATTATTTTGGGGTAACGCTAACAACACATCGATAGTTCTAATATCGATATGAACCACGATGGTCATAGCCGTGGGCCATGTCTAGATCATCGTATTCATCGAACCCGTGTCGCTCCATGGCAGGTGGACCCATTCGGCCCGGTCCACCTGGCACCGGTCCTCCTCGTTGAGCCATCATTCCAGGAGGCCCAGGTGGCATAGTTCGTTGCGCCATTCCTACCGGTGGCATCATTGGTGAACTGCCTCCAGCTGGCGACGACTGATACATTGGCATGGGACCAGACTGAAAATTATATGACATCATGTTTTAAGTCCAAAAACTGGAACACTCTTGATACTCTTTCTTAAGACAAGGCGTGGTTGAGGACGCGTGCGGTCGCGGAACGGCTAGGTGGCGAAACAAAGTGAGGATATTGGTGTGAAGACAAAAAAGAAAGAAATTAGTTGAAAAACTTGGAAAGCTGTGGTTAAATTCAGTTGGTCATGGTATGATGACAGCTAATCCTTTTCAAGCACTACACGTGCGTTAAAGTGCCCTACGATCCGTAAAGGATTAGATGCAAATGTACATTCGGAGCTTTTCTGACGCAGTTTATAAATATTGCAAAATGAAGGTTCAGGTTGATATTCGTGACAAGTGGTTTAGCCACCCATATAGTAATGCAGGACTCGGCTGCACATTGTATTATCGGTTATGGCGCAACGCGACCGCTCGCGTCTCATCCCGGCCTGCACATGCGAGGGACTCGAAACAGAAATTCGCACGCCTAGTTTCTCAAAAGTATTCTCTAGGATCTATGCTCGCCATCTTCTTAACATTAAAAAAATCTACAAAAATACCTGAATATTGATCGACGGAACCGGTTGTTGCCTTCCAGGCATTGTTTGAGCAGGTGGGGTCAGATACGGTGCAGGAGCAGGTGCACCCATCGGAGGTCCGAGTTGTGTTGCTGAGGGCTGTTTCTGAAGTCCCATTGATCCACC